GACCCATAAATCCCTGTCTGTGTCACATGCGTAGAATTTAATAGTGGGCACCTTTATCAGTAACCAACTTTGCCAAATCACCTGTTCAAATCAAATTCTTCTGTACATGTCATGCTTTTAGGTTGCAAAGAAAAACACACCCAAAGCCTTCCACAACATGGTATTAGCGCCCTAGCTCTGTATCTTGTCGAGTTACAAAAAATCCCATCAGATTAGGCACATTCACTGCCCATCAAGTTAACTCATGCATGCTAAGCATGCTTTGTTAATGGGGCTAAAATATGTCCAAATGAATGCTGATTTAAATCGGTGTACGTCAAGATCAGGATGTTGCCTTTGTTCGTTTTCCTTTAAGACTTACATTAACTTTCGTTTTCAAAAATAGGTTCTTTTATTCAACTACTGTATTTACTGGAAACATACATCCATTAAAAAGTGTGTTGTTTCTTCCATTTTTAAGCACCCAGGCTCATTATGGCTTAGGATCTAAGGAGACAGGCCTGCGGTTTCTGTAGTTTGAGTTCATCATGTAAGAAACTGGACAGGTTAGATCATCAATACATCAGCTGGGAATACATAAATAAAACCATAATACTTTAACGTGTCTACACCATCCAAATACTTTTAAAGTAAATTCTATTATTTGATCACAGAGTCGTCATGCCTGGGCTTTAGACCCAATCGGGTATTTTTTCAAACCTCAGATATGTTTGAACTGAAAGACGGCCTTGATTTATGTATTCTGCACTATAATTGCTCTTTTGTTTGTGCTGGGGAATACTATAGAGCAGACAAAATTAAAAACCCTGTCCTCGTAGAACTTAGTTAGAAAGCCTGTCCTCATAGAACTTAGACTAGGGATTGGTAGACTTTTTCTCTAAAAGACCAAACAGTAAGTCACTATCACAACTTCTCGGCTCCGCCTTTGTACCACAAAAGCAGCCAGAGACAGTACATAAATTAATGGGCACTGCTCTATCCCAATAATACTTTACTTATGGATGTCGAAATTTGGATTTCATATAATTCTCATGTGTTATAAAATATATTCCTTTTGCTTTTTTCCCCAACCATTTAAAACGTAAAGCTCCTTATTCCCTGTTTGTTGTTGTTGTTGATAAATGGCCTGTAAGCTAAAGGCTGCAAGACATCGCTTGCCGATTCCTATTCTAGAGGAAAAGGGCTGGACACATAGGTAAATAGTATGTCAACAGGGGATACGAGCTATGGAGGAAAGTAAAGCAATACTCTGGAGACCATTACTGGGGCAGGGAGGGCAGAAGGCTAGTGTTTCATACAGGGCTGTCAGGGAAGGAGGTTATTTACGGAGATACTTGATGGAAAGGAGCGAGCCCTGACTCTGGGGGAAGAACTTGCCGGAGAGAGGTAAACGCAAGGGCCAGTGCAAGGACTTCGGCCCTTTTCCGACTGAGGCAGAAAGGCGAGACGAGGGAGGCAGGGCCAGGCTATCCACTAAAGGGATCCCTTTGGCCGAAGTGATAAAAGAGGAAGGCGGCAGGGTTTGTGACAAATAAAGGGAGAAAGAGGAACCAGGGACCACTCCAAGGTCTTTGGCCTGAGCAACCAGGTGACGAAGCTGGTCATTTTCTGAGCTGGGCGGGGCTCTCTCTCCGCCTAAGGTTCTCCATCTGCTAAGTGGAGAACAGTAACATCGGCCCCCTTCAGCTGTAGTGCAAAGGGGATGAAAAGCACATGAGGTTAGGGCTCAGGAAATGGTGGCTCTTGTCATGTTAGCTCTTTCTGGATCTTTCTTTCATGCGCCTATTGAAAACCCAGCCCTGTTTATAGCCAGCCAACTATCAATCTACATCTAGGATGTAATTCTCAAAAGCATCTTATTTGAGAGGAAGCTCACTCTCCATGCCCAGTTTGTTTTGGAGCCTCTCCGCACTGAAGGTCGGATGATAAGCCGCTGATGCTTTCCGATTTAGTCTCTTTTAAAATACTTGTTGTGCTGATTGTACATGGAAGGTTCGTTGTTATTTTGGTGGATGAACAGTTGCCATGGTGTCGCTATTAGCTCCAGTCTCATGTGACCGGGTACCCTGAGGAGTTCAGGCTGTGGCTCTAGGGATCAGAGAAGATAAGAGTTCAGGATAAAGGAGTCATCTCGGCTAGACCTTGAAAGACAAGTACAATTTTAGAAGTGGGAGGAGATGCAGAGGAAGGCCACGGGGTATGGAAGTACATGGCCTATTTGGCGAGCGGCCGTGAAAGCCCATCCCAAGATGCTTATACTCTATCATTTCTGCCAGTTACCAAGGGGGATCCATCGATGGTCTCTCAGCAGGGAGGAACCTGGGCGGGGACTTTACCCTGGTGGCACAGAAAGCAGAGTATAGGCCAGTTAAAGGCAAGAACAGAGAGCAGGTGGGGCGCTCAGAAAACTAGGGATCCCGGCATCCTGCGTGCTCGTCCGAATCACCCTAAGAACGATGTCTTCAAAGTATGGTTTTTTTTAAGCCCCGTCCATAAACATCCTATAATGAGGCTCAAAATAGTTTGTTTTTAACAAGTGGCCATGATGATTTTCCTGTAGCCACTGATACCATTAAGTAATTTAACATTGTGGTAGAGAGGATGACCCGTCACAGTAGTCCAAGAGACAGAGGAAAAAGGTATCGATTTGAGTCCCGGGAGGAAGATACTAGAAGGATGTTGGTCATCTTAGATGTTGAGGGTGAGGGAGGTTTTGAAGATTAATTCCTTACCTCCTACCTCTAGGTTTTCCAGTACGAAATATTGGAAACAAAACAACTGGACGCGTAATAGAAACTTTGAAGAACAAAAGGAAGTAAGAATCAGGTAGGATGCTTACACACAGCTACTCAAGAAAACGACCCTGTTCTAGAAAGCACAGTTTTTCAACCTCAGCACCACTGCCATGTGGGGGGCCTCCCCCCACACAAGGTGCCCATGGCAAGCCCCCTCCCCGACCTGTGACAACTAAAAGTGTCCTGAGATGTTGCCCAATGTCCCCTTGAGGGCAGACTTGCCCCTCATTGAGAATTACTGCTCTAAACACATACCTCTTCACTCTTTAGTAGCCGTTTTAAAATCAGGAACATTTAAACATCTAAAGCTTCTCAAGATTCAATGTGAATTGCTTACATCTGCAAACAACGAAAAGCCCCCCCCCCCCCCCCCC